CTTACAAAATTGGGATTCCTTGTTTCTTGCTTTTCACTCAACAGCACCCTTTGGACATGTATCAAGAAGACTTCTGAAGGACTAACAAGCCTATTCTTCTCCACGCTTGACCAATAGATAATGAAGCTGGGTATAATTTATCTGAAGTGTGGGTGTCTTGGAGTCCCCGTACTCTACAGCTGATTGCTCACATCTATTTTTTCTCCAAATGACATCAGCTGCTGACTTGAAACTGGGCATGGTGGGAGGATTTACACCATAGACATCTCCAGACGTTAAAAATGGTGCTTTGGATTGGGCAATGGTGGCACACGCCTTTAATCCCAGCACTGGGGGGGGGCAGAGGCAGGTGGATCTCTATGTGTTGGAGGCAACCTGGTCTACAGAGAGAGTTCCAAGATAGCCAGGGCTACACGGAGAAACCCTTTCTCGAACGATTCCCCCCAAAAAATAGTGCTTTGGGGGCTGGAGAGATGACTCAGTAGTTAAGACCTCATATTTCTTTTCCAGAGGACTGAAGTTCAGTTCCCAGCATCCACATGGCAGCTCACAACCATTTGTAACTCCAGGCCCAGGGGATCTGTTGCCCACTTCTGGCCTCTGAAGGTATTGCATGCACGTGGTGTACAAATACAAATATATGGGCAAAATACCCATACACAAAAAATAATTAATCTTTGAAGGAGGAGGACTTTTCTTTTAATTATAATTTTAATTAGCAGATCATATAGTCCCTATTAGTTTGTTTCTATTCTCCCTGCCCAAGGTTGTGAGAAAATGACTAGTACAATTAGGACTGATTGTGTGTATGCAAGCATGTACATGTATGCATGTAAAACACACAAAAAACATATATATGTGTATATGCATGTACATATATACATAGTGTTTTAATTTCTAGGGTACCTAAGATAAGGATTGATGGATCAAAAGAATACACATCTTCAGTTTCTAATGATGTTCTTAGTTTACGAAGGGTTACAAATGTACATTTCTATCATCAATGTGAAATATTTGTCCTTCATTCTGGCAATGGAAATCACTCTCAGTTTAGTTCTTGCCATCTGGAATGGATGAAGTAATATCCCATTTTGATTTGTATTTCCATGAATATTAATAGTTGTGAGCAGGGCTGGAGAGATGGCTCAGTGGTTAAGAGCACTGACTGCTCTTCCAGAGGACCCAGGTTCAGTTCCCAGCACCCACATGGTGGTTTGTAACCATCTATAACATCAGCTTCAGGGGATCCAACACACTCTTCTGGCCTCCAAAGGCACAAGGTATGCATGTGATGTCCAGGCATACATGCAGACAAAACACCCATACACATGAACAAATTAGATAAGTCTTAAAAAGATTGTCGGGAGCCCCTCCCTCTGTGCTTGCTGACCAGTTAAGTGCTTTCTTATGATGTGTTTGCTGCTGCCGGTCGCTCATTTTCCTGCCGGGCTGTCTGCTTGCTTTTTATCTACTTATAAAACTTTCTTGTTTGCTATTGCTTCTAATTATCCATTTCTCCTGTACAAGTTTGTACATTTGTCTATTTGAAAACTATTTTATTTTACTTTATGTGCATGGGTGTTTTGCCTGTGTGTTTATCTGTTTACCATGTAGATGCAGTGCTCACAGAAGCCAGAAGAAGGTATCAAATCCTCTGAAGTAGCATTGCAGATGCTGTGTGAGCTATCACGTGGGTCCTCTAGAAGGGCAGCCAGTGCTCTTAACCACTAAGCCATTTCTTCAGCCCCATGTCTATTGCTTTTATTTTTTCTTTTGCCATGTAAAACTTTAAAAAAAAAGATTTATTACATATACAGTGTTCTGCCTACACACCAGAAGAGGGCATGAGATTGAATTGTAGATGGTTGTGAGCCACCATTGGTTGCTGAGAATTGAACTCAGGTCCTCTCGAAGAGCAGTTAGTGCTCTTAACCTCTGAGCCATCTCTCCAGCCCCATGTAAAACTTTAAAAAAAAAAGCTGTTACGAGGTAAAATATGTCTATACTTTCATTTATAGCTTTTGGGTTTCCAGTCTTGGTGTATAGAGTACCCCTCCCTGTCTCTTTACCAAGCTTTTAGCTTCCTAAATTTTCAAGATTGTTATTGTCTTATTTTTTCACATTTGTCTTTAATCTATATAGAGTTCATATTTGTAAGTAGTATAAAATAGGAATCCAGTTTTATTTTCTTCCAGATGGAAGTTGACTTGGCACCATTTATTAAATAATCCATTCTTTTTCATGGAATTGAAATACCAACTTTGTCATATAGTAAATTCTCATATGTATACTTGGTCTATTTCTGGGCTCTCTATTTTATTCCACAGATCCATTTATCTATTCCCATGCCAATACCGAGATTGATTTAATTACAGAGATTTTATAGTTTGGTCTGACATCTGGGAAGACAAGTCTCACTCTTTATTTCTCCTTTTTCACATTTTTATTTGCCCCTCTCAAGTATTTATTCTGCTATGTAACTTTGAAATCATTTAATTCATTTTCCCCTCCAAATAAAACCTTCTTGTTATCCAATTAAAATCACATCAAATATGCACATTAATTCTGGTAAAATTGATTTTTCTATCAGTATTCTTTTATTATTTCCAAAGATATTTGCTGAGTACCTACTCCATGGCAATCTCACAGGGTAAAACAATAGACACGCATGGTCCCCTTTCTCTTGAAGGTCAAGCTACTCTGTTTATGATAAGTGGCCTTCCAGTTCCACTCTGGGATATTTACTCAGCAGAAAGGATTGCTGATATCCACCACAGGATAGTACAAGAACACTCGTAGCAGCTTTAAGCAATAAACAAGAAGGAAGGCACACTACTATTCCAATAGCAGGGATAGTTTACAGTGGGTAACCACACAGCCATGAAAAGCAATGAACTTCTGATTCCTGCAACAACATAAATGGATCTCACAGACAGGCTGAGCACAGGAAGGTAGACACGAGTATTTGGTAATTGCCCTTGTGAGAAGTTCAAAACCAAGCCTGTTTGTATAGAGAGAATAGTGCCTCCTTTGGGGAGGTAGATGCATATGAACGGTGAGGGGTCAACGGCACCTTCTGGGATGGCTTATGCTTTGCGTTTGACCTGACCAGGCATTATATGAATTCACATACCTACTTATTAAGTCATATACTTGAGAGCATTTTCCTGTTTTAAGTAGTATGTCAATCAAGACAAATAAGGATGAAAAACGAAATTTGTCGTCACGAAGGCTTTCTGAGGGTGCTGAGGATGAGTGGTTTGTGTGGGTCTCTGCCATCTGCATTCCCTCTCTGCAAAAATGACTTTCCAGTGCTTTCCAAGCTGGGCTTTTGCAGTCTTGAAGCTGCTGCAGCCAGTGATCCCACGATGATTTTCTAGCCTCTCTTCCCTTACTAAACTGATTAAAAAGCATCTTTGGGTGGACTACAGTATGGCTTGTAGACAGAGAAGCAACAGACTTGGGCCAGCCAGCTTCGACTCCCTCTCCCCAACTGGTCAATAAGAAAGCACGGGTTTTTCTGCCTAACCCCCAAAAGAGTTATAAAAGTTCAGTAAGTGCCTGGAAAGCAGGCACGACTCTGAGATGCAATCTGGATCACCCATTACCAATTTGCTTTGCTCACCCACCGTAGTGGCTGGGCCTTCTGCTTCCGAGGGGGAAATGAGCAGTTTGGATGCCTGCTCCCTCCTTCTCTCTCCTCCCATCTCATCCCCTCTCCTTTGTTCTCCATCAGCGTGTTCCCTAGTGGGGGGACGGTCTATATTTGTGGCTCTTTGGGGAGAAAACTTGGAGCCCAACTTGGGGTCTCACATGTGACCCCAAGACTGCACGCGAGAGACGTCGTCTGCGGCAGTCCTAAAATGCAGCTTGCCATGTGGCACTGCTGAGTTGCAGTTATTTCCTGCCATTTTGTATTTCTATCTCTGGGGTAGTGAGTGACTCAGGCTTTCCAGTTCAATGTGAGGACACATCCCACCGAGTTGACTGCCTGATGCTCCTGGAGGACATTCCTAACCCACCACTCCCCAAGTTATTAGAAGTCTAACCCTGAAATCACTAATCCCCAAATAGCCTCTGCTCTCTCAACTGCTGGCTTCCATGCTTTGATTTTATGCACATTAGTTCCCAACTCAAGGCCAAAAATTCTACCCCATGCAGAGCCACTTTCAAAGAAGAACCAATATGCTAGGACCGGAGGGGGATTTGAATAGCGGCTAATTGTCAGTTTGTCTAGTGAAAAGAGCTTCCTCTCCCCCGCAGCAGGCTGGTTATTTGTTAAAGTTTTCTGGGGTTTTGGAGCACCTCACTGTTAGGGGCAGTTGAAACTCAGCGGTTTTAATTATTAATCAGGTCAAAGGCGGATGACAATTTTTCTTCTCTTCAGGGGAGTGTCTCGAGAGTTCACGGGGGGGGGCACGCTCAGGCCCTTGTCCTGTGATGGATAGAAAGGGGAGAAGTGGGCAAATGATTGAAGCCAGATCAGTCTCGAGTTCCTAATGGTTCCTTACGAGACGCACTGTTTGGAAAGTCACGTAAGCTGCCTGTGGTCTCATTGTGAGGGATGTAGGTCTCTGTCCTTTCCGAGGATTGGTGGTTTTCTGAGTGGAACACCTCCAGGTCAGCAACACACGTGAACATATGTCCTGTTGTATGTGCCCTTGCAAACCAAAGCACAGAGGTGGAGACTCTTCATATGTGTCCACTCTGGGGTGTCAGCTTCCTCCTGGTGGCAGCGGGAAGGCCACCTCTTTGCTAAGCACACTGTGGAACAGGCATGAGGCCTCTTCTAGTTCTGGTCTGTAAAGTCTCCAATACTCTGACTGTGTTTGCCCTGCCTCCCCCCACATCTTTTTTGATCCCTAGAGATCACCCTTCTCCTTTTGGCTTGAGACCTCAGCTTGACAAAATCCAGAAAAGTCTTCCTGCCTGCCTATTCGTCAGCCATTCCAAACAATCCCAGCAGGCCGCTGCCTCTCACCCTTGTTGCTAGGCAGATTCCCTGGTTGCTAGGCCACCACTGTTTCTTCTTAGCCTGGGAAAGACATACAAATTTCCAGTGACCCACTGAATCTTCTAGCCGCCCACCCACCGGCAAAACGAGTAGATCCTAAACCTCATTGAGTGTGAACTCGGTGCCCAGTGTAGATCAATTTCAAATGTAAAAATAGTCAGCAAAGTCAAGGTATTTTCTTGTAGAGGTGACCCAGTATGCCGCATAGATGATGGATAGGCCATCTGGGGAGTTTCTCTGGGCAAGGGCCTGGACGTGCCCCCTGTGAACTCTCAAGACTCTCTTCTGAAGGGAAGAAAAATTTTCATCAGCCTTGACATGAACTTGGAGAATTTTCTCTGGTGTAAGTTCTGACACCTTCATCCCTTACTGGGCTCAGAAAACATCTTATGTATAACTATGAACAGTCCCTGGTCCCAGAGGTAAAAGAGTATTACGTTTGAAAGACTGAATTTACTAATATATAATGAGATTATCATATGGATCTAGAATGATTCTATAAGGATGTTGTCTTTGTTCTGTGGTTGCAGAGTTTTCAGGGAACAGGATATAGTGGTATTGATACCAGTTAAGAAAGATTTATGTATTTATAGCTACTTTTTAAATCTGTCCTACTATGTGTCAGGCAAAATACTGGGTGATGTACAAGATGACATTTAATTTCCCACATCAATTATGAGAAAGACAAAATGCTTAAGCCCATTTTATTAAAATATTAGCTCAGGCCCATCAGAGTGGTGAAGGAACAAGCCACCAACCCTGACAACCTGAGTCTGGTCTCAGGAACCCACATGGGGAAAGAACAGCACTGACGTTCCAGCTCTTCTCACCTCCACACACAAAATAACTGAAAAAAAATCTACTTTAAGCAGTTTGGGTTTAAATTGTTACTCTTGAGGGGTCTTGATCGGGTTCGTTTTCGCTTCTAATTAAAAAATTAAAAGGCAGAAAAGCTCTGGAGCGCGACAGGTAGCAGCAGGGAAAATCCCAGACAGGATCAGGCTTTGAGAAAAGTGTTTGTTAGGAGTGGGGAAACACACACAACAAGGCACAGAGAAAGATCTAGAAAAGCGGGCATGGTGGGGAATAGGGGGATGGAGGAACGAAGATCCTGGTCTGGTCTCTCAAGGGCTGGGGGCTTTAAAGGGTCTTTGGGGGGTCTCCCTCCCCTAAGTTAAGGTTGGTCACCTTAAACAAAGACAGGGAGCATGATAGGCCCACAACTTTTAGGTAAGCATGTTCTGGTCTGGCCTTGAACTTGTTAGACCAGTCTGCCAGCAGAAGGGCCTGGAAGAAAAAGCCTGCCAGGCCTTTGTCACAGGTCAGGGGGCTGAAGAAGAAGCCAGAAGTTAGCCATCTTCATTATCTGTGGCCCCTCTCCCTGTCTTCTTACTGGGAATATGTCTAACTCATATTGCTTCAAAATGACTTAAAAGGAGGCTGTTCAGCTAAGATGTAAGTGAACCAGGTTTTGAACCCAAAGCTGGCTTTATTGGTCCCAGCTGTCTGGGAATGTGCAGGTGTAGGTTGGAGGAAAGTTGGCTAATGGATACTGAGGTGCTGAATAGGGGTTTCCTAGGAACTAGGGTTTGTGTGTGGATGCAGGATTTGACTGAGTCTCCATCTTTGGATGGAAATTATAAGTATAACCCAGCATGCTTTACTCCTGTGGAGTTTCTTTGAGAGAAGGGCTTCTGGATTCTTGCTGGCAATGGGTAAATATTTGTGTCCAGTAGAGTGGTGGAATATAGGAAACTCACTCTGGTTCAGCAGACATCCAAATGGCATAGGACAGGCATTTTAAAGGACTGCCACTGCCTGGGAGCTCTGAGAGGGAGGATCCTGGGGACAGTTGGATTAGGACCACTGAACTCTGCAGAAGCCTGTAGAGCAGGGGTTCCTAACCTTCCTAATGCTGTGACCCTTTAACACAGTTCCTCATGTTGAAAATTATTCTCATGCTACTTCATAACTGACATTTTGCTATTGTTATGAGTCGTAATGTAAATATCTGGTACATAGATGGTCTTAGGCAACCCCTGTGAAAGGGCTCTTGACTCCAAGGGGTCACGACCCACAGGTTGAGAACAATTGCTACAACACAAAGAAGTCCTTCCTTATTCATCGGTCTAGGAGTACTCCTATCTAGGTGCAGAGCAGCAGGTAGTAAATCCTAGATTGGGGACCAGAGCCTTAGAGGAGCCTGGGTGGCGGGTTCTGAAAGCCAATGAGAGCACCCTGAAGCCTGGCAATGGAGTTGACCTCTATCTGAAGCTGAAATAAGAGCATGTCCCGAGCCACGCCCGGAGGAACTGAAAGTGAGGGACAAGAAAGTCTGGGTATCCTAAAGGATCGGTACCGGAAATGGTAGGGCTCTCATCTGGGTTGCCAGATGATGCCAGAAAAATCAGGGTCTCCCTCTTAACATTCTTAGTCTCATTAATAAAGTAAGGCAGAAGGGACTCAAACAGATGCTTGAAGACAAATTTAACTGGGTTTAAAAGAAAAGGCCAGGGCAGGCAAGCTGTAATCTTCGAAGCTGCCAGGAAGAGGAGCGTGGAGGAGAGAAAAGAGAGAGGGGAGGCCATGCTCATTAAGACAGCACAGAGGTCAGCCAGGACAGGCAGGGAGGAGGCTTCAGGGAAACAGTAAGGACACCCAGAGTCTTGGGGAAAGCATGCTTGGAACAGAGATAAAAGAAAAGAAAAAGTACATTTTCCCCCAAGTAATTTAGAAAAGCAGGCAAGCTAACAAAGCCTCATGATTGTGATTCAGGAATTCTGGGAAGGAAAAGTACATTATTTCATTAAAGGGGTAATTACTCCACCCATCTTTTTAGGATGACTGATGGTAAACCTGCCTTCCCGGGGCCCCCCTGCCTTCCTGAGTGGCGTCCCTTCGCCAGCCCGGAGGCTTTACCTTTGGTGATCAGTTAGTTCTCCCTCAATGGGCCTACGTTGCCACTCTCACAGATCTTTTTTTCTCCCTTCCTACCCTGCCTTTTCCCTCCCTTCTTTCCACCTTTCCTCCCTCCTTTTTTGGGGTGGGGCGTGGTGGAGGTTGCTGCAGGGAATTGACCTTGGGGCTTGCACATGCCCGGCAGTTGCTTTACCACTGAACTGTAACTCCAGCCCTCTTACTTTTTACTTTTGGTTTTGAAGAGAAGTCTCCGTTTCCCAGGCCAGCCTTGAACTCAGTCTGCAGGCCAGATAGGCCTTCCGTTTGTGATCCTCCTCCCTCAGCCTTCCAAGTAACTGGGTTATCAGGCCTCCGCCGGCAGACCTGCCTGGGCTCTATCCTTTTTCTTGCAACAAACCGTTCTGGGATTGGACGAGGGTTATTCGGGAGAATAATCTGTGCTCTGTACATTGTCTGATTCTCAGCTTTTGTAATTTAGTTTTTTGGCTTTTCCCCAGTTTCCTATTGAAGCACTTTCTGAACAATCTCAACCTTGTCTGGATGCTAGAAATTTGCCCAGCTTTGGGCCAAGACTGGGGTTCCAGGGCCCCTGGAAATTTAGCAGGATGGGGTTAGCAGCTGTCTCAACTGGATTTGTATGAAACATCTGGTGGAGTCAGGGCAGAGAGAGGTGAACTCCCGAGAGAGAGAGAGAGAGAGAGAGAGAGAGAGAGAGAGAGAGAGAGAGAGAGAGAGAGAGAGAGAGAGAGAGACAGCTGCAGTTGCTAAGGTCTTTCCTGCCTGAATCCTTCCATTTGGAGGCTGCTAGGCTGCTAGGCTGCTAGGCTGCTAGGCTGCTAGGCTGCTAGGCTGCTGGGCCCTTTCACCACAGAGTCTGCTGGGCCATCATAGAGGCTGCTGGGGCTCCAGCTCTTCCTACCTGGCTTTATCCATAAAGCAACAGACAAGTTAAAGTGAAGTCCTGTGGGCTGTAAACAGTGGGCAGGGACAGTGTCTTGGTGATGTTTACCTGCAAAGCTTAACAGCAGCTGGGGTGTGACTGGGCTGAGGGGAGAGAAGGGTGGATTACATCCCGAGCCACTAGACCGTGACTGTTAGGGACTTAGATCCAATCAGGGTACATGACATTCAGCTGAAATAGAAGAGAAGTAGAGGAATTTGGGCCACTTCTGTTATTTTAGTAACCCGAGAGTCTCTCAGAAATTTGTGAGTGGTCTGACTTGTGCCCACTTGGAAGGTCTTTTCCCACGTCTTCCTTTCTTACATGGGGGAGCAATCGTTTTTACCTTATTTTAATTTTTGCATTAAAAATGACGCAATAGCCATGGAAAGGCAATAGTGAGCTCGGTTGTGCTGGCCTTTTGGAAGGAAGGCTTAGGGACTTGGTGGGAAGACCTTTCCCCTGTCCCACTGATAATTTGCAGTCTTAAACTTGGTTCCTAGGCAGCTGTGGTTAAAGTGAAATCTTGATTCTCTTAGTAACTTGATGGTTTAGTTTAGGCCTCAGGTGGCTGTTCCATGAACTGCCTTGAAATTTAATCACCCAAATTTATTTCCTAGAGTGTTTTCACAGTCTCCTCCTCCAGGCCCATTAGTCACCATCCTGTGACCTGACAGAGGTTATTGAAACCCCTGTGGTTCTTCACACTAGATTTAGGGGTGCGGGTAACTCTGGAGGCAAGTTCTAACTTGAGTCACGGTTGGGTGAGTTTTCCCTCTATTGGTTATGAATCCTCTCCAGGGCATCCTGGAGACCCACAAGGAGAATACCTACCTCCTTTCTTCAAAGGAGAGGTGGTAATTTCTTCTAGAACTGGTATTCTCAGGCTAGGGAATATGTGGTCCTTTGCTCCTGGTCACCTGACTGACATTGCCCATCGTCAATGCTCATTTTAATAAAATGGAGATAATATATACATTTTAAAAATGTTTTACTTTTATCCCAGGCTGTCCTCAAATTTCCTACATAGCTAAGAATGCCCTCCAACTTCTGATCTTCCTGTCTTCGCCTCCCAAATGTTGGGATGACAGCCACCGTGTTCTCTGTGGTGCTGGGGACCAAACCCAGGCTCTCTATGCTTGTTAGGCAAGCTCTCTACCAACTGAGCTACATCCCTAGCCCAAGATAGCATACACTTTTTTCCTTAAAAAGGGGGGTACAGGGACCAGTGAGATGCTCACAGGCAAAGGGGCTTTGCAAGCCTGGTGACCTGAGTTTAATACCTGGGACCCACACAAAGGTGGAGAGAACCAACCCTACAGAGTTGTCTGTGACCTCCATATGCACACACAGGTACACACACCCACACCAATAACAAATGATTTTAATAAAGGAGTGCAAAACTAAACCAAAACAGAAGGGGTGGCCGTGTAGAGCCTAGCCCAGCACAGCAGGGTACAATAAATCTAGCTCCTCGTTTTTTTTCACTAGACAAGGCTTTCCTTTTGGAATCCTGGACATTTTATTCATCTGGTTTGGAAACATCCCTACAAAATTTCCTTCCAAGAATAGTTCCATAAATCAAGCACTTGGCTAGCTCTTTCTTCCAACTGAGGGCTTCCTCTCTGGAGTAGGAACTGTGGAGCTCCAGGGTTACTAGGCAATGAGCAGCGGATGTTATATGTAGCTAGCTGACAGGGGCTGTATAGGAGAGTCTGACTGTGTGACCTCCCCGGCCTGTTCCCCCAGGTCTGGACACTCCTACTGTGTGCTTGACTGGTCTCTGGAGGTAACTTCGCAGGGCTCCCTCCTCTCCTGCAAGCTATGCTGGACCAGTTAAAGTTTATTCTGTAGAAACCTCCACCAAGAAGTCAAAAGATGAGTTTCCTGCTCTTAATAGATAATTTTTATTGGTTTTGCAATAAACGTATGAAATAGAAACAATAGCAATAAACTATTGCAACAAGAAATCGAAAGGCTCAGGCCCCCAAAGCCCTTCCTGCCTCTTCTTAATGAGTCTCTAATTTATAGGGCAGCCAGTGGGCCTACTTTTCTTCTCCAGGCTTTGCAAACTCTTCCATCTTGGGGGCTCGGGTTCTCTGAGGCCTAGTGAACTCATTTTCGAGTAGTTGCTGTAAGGAAAGCTGGGACATAGTAAAGCCAGACAAGAGGAAAGGCACTGTCCTAGTCCTGTTTCTTCTGACTGTGAAGGTCTTTTCTCTTTGGCTTCTTATTTGTCACCAGAGGCTTGACTAGGAGAACAACCAAGATGGGAACTCATACTTAAATAGCCAAGGGCCACAGTTTAACTTAAGAAAAACATTGCATCTACTTGTTTGTTTTATGTGTGTGTGCATGTTTGTATATATGTGTGTTGGGGGTGGGTCACACACAGTGCATGTGTAAACAGCAGAGAACAACTTGTGGGAGTTGGTGCTCTTCCACTGCGGGGTTCCTGGGGAACAAACCCAGGTCACCAGGCTTGGCAGCAAGTGCAGTTACCCAGTGAACCTTCTCACCTGCTCTGCTGTTTAACTTTCGGAGAGCAGAGCGAGGGGGGTGGGTAGGCATAAAATACACCTGGAGTCTTGGCCAGGGGGCTTCGCCTTTGAAGCCTCTATCTTTTGGAATGTGTAGAATATTTTTAGTTCATGGTGTGAGTCTCAGAAAACTCAGCTCAGCATGCTCAACAGCACCATGAGGAGGAATGATATTGATGTCTTTGTAGATACTAATGAGACCTCCTCCGGGCAGTTCTCAGGGGCAGCTCAAGCGAGCTGGAAGCCCTGGGTCCCTGCCCCAAGGGGGTTCACTTGCTGGGTCACCGGCAGTGTCGGATGAGTGGTAGCTAAAGTCAGGGCTGAATGCTCCTCCTGACCGTTTGCCCTGAGGCCTGAGAGAACAGGTTGCTTGTGTTCCTGATCATGCCTCAAAGGAGGAGAAGGCCTCCTCAGCGCTCTTGGCTCAACAGCCAGAGAGAAAACAAGACTCCGTGGGGCTCCCAATACAGCCCTTCAGGGACTGGATAGCTCAGGGTCTGGGTGGGCAGCAAAGACCCTGGCAGCGCATAAAAGAGGACACAGATGGTCTTAACTGGAAGTAGTGATGTTTTCCACCAATCATGGCTGGACGGATACCCCATACTCCTTCCTGCCTGCCATGTCCTTCCGGTTCCTTCCTGTACTCTGGGCTCTTTCCGCCATGCTTCCATAAGGTTGGAGCTGGGGGTGAACCTTTCCTCGGAATCCCAACTCTCCGCTCACCCCTCATCTCACCCCCTCCTCTCAGGGGGCGTGAAGGAAAGACCGCTGACTTTGCAGCCCACAGGCCCAGCAAGTCCCCATCTCTGGCACGCTGTTATGCTTCGAGGACACAGGACTGTGAACTCGAAATTGTCTCGCCTTTGTCACCTCCTGGCAGGTCTTTAGAGCTCAGGGAAACAGTGGAGCGGTACAAATCGCAGTGGCGTGGTAAAGCCCCCCTTACTCCTGATGGGCTGCCTGACTCATATCCGTTTCCCTGGCAAAAAATAAGTTTTTGTTATTGCTGGCTTGGCAGAAGCACGGAAGAGTGCGCGAGGATCTACTGCCCCATGCATCACTGGCCAAATTGCCTGAGAAATCCCAGCTCTAGAACTTTTCATCGTTGGCTGTGATGTACGGAGCAGAACGGCAGCTCCATTTCCCCAGCGTGCGTCAGCGACGCTGGCACTTAGCAGATCCGCTCTGCTTGCAACTCCCAGCAAATATGGCCTTTCCTCTCTCTTCCCCTCCCCGTGGCCCTTTTTGCCCCTCACCCTTTATCTTTCCCATCCCCCTGTCTGCTCATCAACCCCCTCCCTGCCTCTACCCAGCAGAGCCATAGCTGGAGAATCAGGAGGAGGCCCACAATGTCATTTCCCCATCACTCTGCAGCCGATTCCACACTAATGTTCTTTTAATGCTGTGATGCTGCACTAATTAATAAGCATCCTGCACAGAGGCCTCACTCGACTCTCCTCCCCTCTCCTCCTCTTCCCTCCCCACCCCTCCCCAGCAGCAGGGAGAAGGCCTCCAGCCTGACATCCTGGCATCTGGCAGCAGAGAAAGGATTTCACTCCTCTACCTGGGCTGCCTGATATTGCTATGAGAGATAACTGTATACGAACCAATAATCTAGCCTGACAATCCAATTTACTGACCAATAGCGCACAATCCACCATGTCATCGGCAGTGGGGAGGCCCATAAATTAGTTCCTAGTAATTTATTCTGATCAATAGAATGGGCAAAGTCACTTGTCTCTTTAATCAAAGGCCCTCTCAGAGATGTCAGTGCAGGCTGCCGTGTGGGAGGGAGCCAGGAGGCTGTGGGTTCTTGGCATAACACCCCTCACCCTGGCTTCCAGAACCCAGCAGAAAGCCTCCTCCAAATAGGAACGGTGTGGGAGGCTTCTGTGGCCCATGCCTGTCTCAGGCGGGAAACACTGGTCTTCAAAGAAACCAAGGGCAGCAGTGACCCAGACTGTGGTAAACAAGTGTTAGCTCCAAGGACATCATATCTCTTTGGAATGTCCAGCATCTTCCTTCCTCCCTATCATAGGGAGCCCCAAGTCCTTGTACTGTCAGTAAAAGAAGGTTCCCAGACGATGGGAATGTGCTCTTCCAAAGCCTGCTGTGTAGATGTGTTCCCGCTTTCAGAGGCGGCTCAGCAGGACAGAGGGCTAGCTCTGAGCTTCAGTCCCTTCCTACAGCCGTTCTGCGTTTAGAGAGGAAATCCACACTGGGCCTGTAAAGTAAACAAGCTCTTATCTGTCTTATCTGGCTGTAGGAGAGGTCCTGTTCACACTCCTGCCCCCGGATGTCGCACATTCTTCAGAGGGTTGTCACCTGAGAGATTTTCCTTGCATGATAGCGTAATGGCTTTCAGCTTTCTGTTCCTCTCCCACCTTTGTACAGCTCACCCTGTCAGCCATCAGAAGCCCCAGTTCTTTTATGTGTGGTCTAAAAATTTCACAAAGGCGTGGCGGCATACTTCTGTAATCCAAGCAGTAGGAAGGCGGAGACCGGCAGACCGAGAGTGTGAAGCCAGTTCAGACTACATGGAAAGTCCCAGGCCAACCCTGGGCTCCATGGCAAAACCCTGTCTCAAATAGTAAAAGCATAATGCAATCATTCGGTCACCGGGAACTCAGTGTGTGTGTGTGTGTGTGTGTGTGTGTGTGTGTGTGTGTGTGTGTGTAATTTCCTTGAGTCAGGGTCTTTTACTGAGACTCTACAGCTAGGCTCCAGTGAGGGGCTGGAGAAATGCTGCAGAGATTGAGAGTGCTTTCTGGGTTCAATTTCCAGCACCCACATGACAGTTCAATTCCAGGGGATCCAATGCCTGAATTTGATGTCCTCATCCAATGCCCTCATCTGGCCTCCACAGGCACAAACATGCTATACATACACACATGCAGGCAAAACACTCATAGACATAAAAATAAATCTTTTTTAAAAAGATTTATATTTATCACGTATACAGTGTTCTGCCTGCACATATGACTGCACACCAGAAGAGGGCACCAGATCTCATTATAGATGGTTGTGAGATGCCATGCAGTTGCTGGGAATTGAACTCAGGACCTCTGGAAGTACAATCAATGCCCTTAAGCTCTGAGCCAACTCTCCAGCCCACATAAAAGTATATATATATATATATATTTTGCTTTTTTATTAATTTATTTTTTACATCCCAATCCCAGTTCCTTCTCCTCCCTCCTGTCCTCCTGTTTTCCCCACTCCTCTCCCCACAACCTCCCATCTGCTCCTCGGGTAAGAGGAGTAAGGGTAAGAGTTAGATGTTGTACCCACTGCCAGTAGCCTCGTATATTGTCCCAGCTGCACCATTTTCACCTATTAAAGGAGTGTATTTCGGTCTTACTCAGGTTCCACCTTTGCCAGACCTGAGTCAGTGATCTCTCTCTAGCTCGGGTCAGCTGATTCTGTGGGTTTCCCCATCAAGGTCTTGACTTCTTTATTCACATTATCGCTCCTCCCTCACTTGGATTGTACTCCAGGAGCTTGGCCCATTGGTTAGTTTTGTGAATCTCTGCATCTGCTTCCATCTGTTTCTGGAAGAGGGTTCTAGCTTCTCTGGGGTTGTGGATTGTAGGCTGTGTATCTTTTGCTTTATGTCTGGTATCCACTTATGAGTGAGTACATATTATATATGTGTCTTTCTCACTCAGGATGGTTTTTTCTAGTTCTGTCCATTTGCCTGCAAATTTTATGATGTCATTGTTTCTTACTGCTGAGTAGTATTTCATTATATGAAAATACCACATATTCTTTATCCATTCAGTTGAGGGGCATCTGGTTTGTTTCCAAGATCTGGCTATTACTAAAAATTAAAAAAAAAAACAACAGGCTGGGCAGTGGTGGCACATGCCTTTAATCCCAGCCATTGGGAGTTCGAGGCCAGCCTGATTTACAGAAGGAGTTCTAGGACAGGTTCCAAAGCTACAGAGAAATCCTGCCTCTAAAAACAAAACAAAATAACAACAGCAAAAACAAAAAGAAAGCCTCAGCGGTCTTCCTGAAGTGCTGGGTCACAGATATGCCATGTGTGGCTTTTTATGTGGATTCTGCATATTTGAAGTCGTCCGTCTCTCCAACCCAGTCTGGCCTCTTTTTGAGTCTTATATTCTATGTGGCTCTTGTGCATGTACACGCACTGCATCTGTATCTCTCTTCTGTTAATCTGTCTATTGTCAGTTCACTTCATAGGCTGAAATATTGACCCTTCAGAGGCAGGGTGAGGGAAATTCTGCTTCTGTACTAGCATGGTAGGTAAGAGCCAAAATGATTGACTTTTAATCCCTGCTCTGCCATTTCCCATTTGTGAGACCTGGGGCAAGCTGTTTAAACTATGACTCAGTGGGACTAATAACTCTCTACTTCAGAAGAGTAAGAGGAGTTAGTAACTTAATCAAAAGATACAAGTTTACTAAATTAATATTTTGAGGCAGTTTTATGCCACCCCATGGGTCTGAACTTGCTCTGTAGTCAAGGCACACTTTGAATTCCTGATGCTCCTACCTCTATTTCCTAGCTGGTGATATTACAGGCAAGCCTAGGTTAAATTTACATAAAATGAAATTAGCAAATGAGTAAGCAATATGCTTAGAACAGTACTGACACACAGTAAGGCTATTTTAAGTGTTTGTCAGTGTAAACATATCCACAGAGATCAAGGGACAATGTCATTGGGACTCTGAAGACAGGCCAAGTCCTTGAGATGTTCCATTTCCTGAGAACGCTCTGTCACCTCCCCTTCACTCCTTGTCCTCCTTGTCCAAATAGATAAAGACATCGTCAACTGCTTTGGAGCAGCAGAGAAACTCCACATGTTTTTCCCAAGGCTTGTTCCCTCCTCCAGGCCCCTGAGGTTGGCTATGCGCTGGCCTTGGGAAAGACCAGTCTTGCTCTAGCAAGTGGAAGGGAAGGGCAGCTGGGGTCGTGATGGCTGTAGCAGCGTGGCAAAGGACGCCATACTCTTTGGCATGAACAAGATGTAGAAGACAGCAGAGTTTTGTAATGAACACGAGGCAAAGGCTGGATATCTTAGGTCCTTCTCCTAACTCTGCCACTGACTGAGGGACTTTGACCAAGTCACTTCGGGTCTGACCTTGATTCCATGTTTGAGACAGAAAGGAATGGGAAGAAAAAACTTTCAAGTCTCCCACTCAGACTGTGGACTTCTGAGTCCAAGAAAAGGTCTGCTGGATTTTTCTCCGCGTTTCCTCTCCTTTGCCGTGTGCCCCTCTCTACCCCGTAACAATCTGAAAACCTTTAAACTAATATCAACATCAGCAATACAGGGAAATCTAGGATGTCTCAGGCTATTGTAGTCACTAGGTACAACTGACTTCATTCCTGAAACTGGAGTGTGGGAAGGACCACTTTCCTTAGATGGAGGTTTCTATGTCCCTCACCTTAATTGTGACTTCAGTGGCTTCTGTTCTGTCAAGGTCAAAGCCGGGACTTCTGATTGTAGGGAAGCTCTGGAGGCCTTTCTCATAATCCTACTCATTTTCATGCTAACGACACATCTCCATTGAGGCACAGTGAAGAAACAGCAAAATTCCACTTAAAATTCTAAGCTCCCATGACTGTCCTTGGACCCTGCTCTGGCCCCCATCCCCCTGTAACTGAGCTGGGCTGGAGGGCTGGGGTACACAGTCACTGGTGTGATGGGGCCAGGTTGGAGGCCTGAGGCCAGCCCAGGGTGGCTGCATGGCAGGTGGACACAGTTTCTGGTGAGCAGGAATCTGGCACCCTCTGCTGACCCCGCGGCAGGAGACAGCTGGTCAACCAAGCTACGGCTGCAGCCATTGGGAAGGGGGAAGGTGGGGTCTACGACTAAGTGGCAGCTTACTAGTCAAAAGAGCATTTCCCCTCTTTGAATAGATCATTTTTATTGGTTTTGCAATAAGCTTATGAGACAAGGACAATCGCAATAAACAAACTGAACAAGAAATCGAAAAGATGGCCCCGAAAGCTGTTCCTGAGCCCTTCACACCTTTTCTTAATGAGTCTCTAATTTATAACAAACTGATCACACCAGCACCTCCAGGGTTCTGAGGCTGGGAACTCATGGCCTCTGCCTGTGTGTGGTCTGTCACTTTTTAGGTGCCTGAGATGTGGTTTCAGAGGTGGCAGAGTTTCTGTAGAGTAGGAGGGAACATGGGTCCTGGGAGTCTGCAGTTAGGCCCTGCTTTAGTCACGGCTACCTCTGTGCGTCCCTACCTTAGATCTCTGTGGAATGGAGGAGGCTGGCTCTAGGGAACCCCACTCACTCCAGTCCTGTGCCCAAGCCCTCTCACCAGCCTTAGGCTGGTGATGGAAGCCAGCTTCTTTTGACTTCCAGACTGGTGCTTTATATGGAAGGCTGTGATGGCTTGGGCTTCCACTGTCCTCAGGAAGGGATGAGGTACTGGCAAGGGGCTGAGTCTTTTTGCTCCTCGAGGTTAGAGGCTCTGCCAGGGTAAATCCATGCCTTCCCATGTCTCACCCTGCAACAGGTTAAGGCTGTAAGGAGGGTAAACACTCCCTTGCAGTCTGGCTATGCACGAGGCCAGGGTTTAGTCTCTTCCTGGTGGGGTGACCTAGGGAAAACCACATCTCTTCCTTCAGCTCTCAGCTCCTGGCTCAGGGTCAGTTTCTGTCAGGTGAAGGTTATAGAAGACCACGATTCTATTTCTGCCCTAGACTGAAGTTCCCTCAGGCATTCCCTTTCTCCAGTCCTGTATGTCACTAAGTGGAGACTCTTGTTAAGGTAGCTGTCCCCTCTCCTGACCCTGCAGGATGTCCTTGCCAGCCTACTGTGAGCTTCTCGACAGCTGAGCATGGAGGAAGGCTTCCAGGGGTGGGACCTGCGGTTCTGACCAGGCTAGGACCATGGTTCCCTCTGTAGGGGATCAAGGGACTCATTGAGATGCCTGCAATCCTTAGAGGTGGCCACAAGATGTCAGTGCCAGGCCATACAAATGGCTTCTGTCCTACAAGGCCTGGGAGGAAATCAGACAGCAGGTAGGGAGGCAGTCAATCTCAGCCCTATGCTCCTCTCTCTCTCTCTCTCTCTCTCTCTCTCTCTCTCTCTCTCTCTCTCTCTCTCTCTCTCTCTCTCTCCCTCCCTCCCTCCCTCCCTCCCTCCCTCCCTCCCTCCCTCTCTCTCTCTCTCTCTCTCTCTCTCTCTCTCTCTCTCTCTCTCTCTGCCTCTCTCCCCAAACTGTTGACAGTTCTCTGTATCTCTGTCTTGTTCTTGATGTTTTGTTAGGAGGGTTGAGAGTGGGTTTCTGAGACTCCTTGGCATCCTGCTCCAGGATGATGTAGACACCCCCCTTCCCCGTTTTGTGTGTGTGTGTGTGTATGTTCAGGTCATCCTCAAAAGATAAGGCATTATCTGTATTAACTATAAAACTAGAGTTTTTTAAAAATAATTTTTCATCATATAGAAATGATAAATGTTCCGGGAGGTGGTGGTGCACGCCTTTAATCCCAGCACTCGGGAGGCAGAGGCAGGCGGATCTCTGTGAGTTCGAGACCAGCCTGGACTACCAAGCGAGTTCCAGGACAGCCTCCAAAGCCACAGAGAAACCCTGTCTCGAAAAAACCAAAAAAAAAAAAAAAAGAAAGAAATGATAAATGTTCAAAGAAATAAATGCATATTTAAACCATATTTAAACATTTTGCAGCAAATGCGTGTATTGAACATTAATGTTGCATGCTGATATGTACAAATTTTATGCTTTAGTCTATCAGTGAAATAAAAAAACAAAACAAAACTGGGAATGCTAGCTTTAGGGCTGCCTGCGTGTTGTGTGTGGTGCTGCAAGTATTAGTGTTTGGACAGACAAATTCAGATCTGGAAGGTAGGTGGCCTTACAAATGTTCCTGTTCTACTTGGTCATGTGACTTATGTCTATGATCACAGAATCCCTGCACTCAGAAGGCTGAGGCAGGAGGATCACCAGAAGTTGGAGGTCAGCCTGGATTACATAGGGAGCTCCAGGCTAACCTATGCTACATGATGAGACTTTTTAAAATGCAAGAGAAAGGCTGAGAGGAGGGAGGGAGGAAATAGCCCAGCCAAGCTTCTGGTTTTATAGATGTGGAAACTGAGGCCCACAGTGCAATTGAGCTATCCTATGGACCCCCAACTCCTGCTTTCAGCCTTGCATGGGTGCTTCTGTCTAGATGCCTTGGTCTTGGTGGTTTACTTGTTAGAAAGTTCTCAGACTTCCCTCTGCCAGCAACTTTCTGGACAACATCAGAAAGAAATACAGAGAAGGCAGAGATGGAGGGAAGACAGGAAAGACCCTAGCTCGGTGTCTCACAGTGGCGGGTGTGGACGCCAAGAGTGACCGTGTCTCCCCGCAGCAGATCTGCCTACCTGCACCAGGTCTGAGTTTCCCCGTTTGTGTCTGAGTGAGTCCAAGACCCGTCCTGAGTATCCTTTCGGAGGAGAAGGCTTTGGGCTAGCATTTTGGGAGCCAAGGTGTATCATGCCTGCAACATATGGTATAACCCTGAGAGAGAGAGGCTGTCCCCTCTCTAGCTTCTCTGCCCCCCCAGACTGTCTCCCCACAACCCCAAGGGTTTTGGTGTCCCTGCCCCAGCAGCAATGAAATTCTTTATCGGTTGAGGCACCAGCCCCCGTGTCGGGATTTCAAGGTTCCTGTCGGTTCCATCCATCTTCCGGGGCCTCCTGGTATTAGCATTGATCTACAGGGGAAATGGAGAGCGCGGCTGGGTTATTACGCACCCGCCCGCCTTCCCTGGGCTGTGATTGAGTGCACACAGAGAATTTTTGAAACATGGCCACCCTAACTTATTCTGTCTTCCTGCCAATAGCGTGGCATGGGTCCAAATTACGGGTCGATACCAGCTGATCTTTTTATGTTAAACTGTGATGAAGTTGCTTCTGTGTGGAGATGGGATTAGGCCCTGGGCCCTCATTTAATGGAGAACTTTTGGGATGGGAAAGGGGGAAATCCCAGAGTGGTCAAGGGGAGTGGTCAGCCAGGCATAATGTTGGGCGGGGTGGCTGAGTTTGCAGTCTGCCACAGGCTTGGCTCTGGGCCTGGACTGCACAGCATGCTTGAGGGGCATCAGAGCCAGCTGTCCCGGGGCCCCTAAGCTCCCTGATTTATTCCCTGAGGTTCTCTCCACACCAGGGACCCTCAGCTCCCCATCAGACCTACTAGTGGGCCAGCCAGTCTGCCCTACAGAGGCCCCTCCTTGCTCCCTTCCAAGGATAGAATTCCATTTCCCTCCAGCCCTTCCCACTCTTTCCCCCACCCCCACCTCTACACACCTGCACCATCAAACGGGTTTGTCTTTAACCTCCAAACAGGGAACTTTAATTAAAGAGACAGTGACCCCTTTTATGAGTTTGGTCGAGTTGGGTTTCAGGGCCCTTGTCACTAGCGGCTCACATAACGCTAACAAAAGCTTGCAGGCCCCAAGAGGAGCAGTCTCCCTCATAGACATTGCAAAGGGGTGCAGGGTAGCTATGGGGGGAGGCATGGGAAGAGGGAGCCATCATAGGGCCAAGAGTCTCAGTGACTGAGTCTGTGAGTCTGGAGTTTAAGGGGGTGAGCTAGGATCCCAAGGTCACTGACTGTGACCTTTGGAGTTTAATCTCGAAAAGGGACACCTTGTGGATCCTAGCAGTATGGTGGTAGCTCCCTGTGTCTGCATCAGCTTCCAACAGGGCCTCATATGAGTGTTCTGGGCCCTTATCTCACCTGCTTGTTGGTTTACATTCTTACACTATAAAACTGGAAATAATTTCCCAGAGGAATAGACTGGATAGAACTCACTCTAAGAATAGCTATTTTTTCTTACATATTTAAGGAAAAGTGACTTTATGATAAGACATGATTGCTAATAACTATAATGACAGCACTCAACATATGGCACAGGATATGAATTCTGTGTCTGGAGGTTCTGATGCTGACAGCGCACACACGGCTCGAAAGGAAGTCGCTCCTTCCTATGCAGGAGTCAAATTCAAGCCTCCATGTGCCTCCGTTCGCCATTTCACCCCCTCCCTGTCTCCCCCAAAGACCCCAAGACCCCCACTGTTGTTGGGCTAGTGTTGAGTTTGAAGGGCCCTTATCTTCTTCTTAATCACCCCCTAACTGTTGATTTTTAACCAAGGGCTTCTCCAGGTCCTGTACGGGATGTTTGCTCAGTCTTTGATCTGGTTCTTTGATATCCTTTGTGAATTCTTTAAACTGGAGAGAGTGCCCAACCTGACACACTTATTCATTCAACAAACTTGGGCTGTTAAAAGGAATCATTGCAAAATTGATTATTTCCGTCAGGGAGGGTTTCCCCAAAGTGGGGTACACGCCCATCAACCAGAGGCTGATAAATTTTCAGTTACCTACTTGAAGAATTAGTCGCCTAAATGACTTGTTATGACAAACCTAGGGTTGAGCCCAAAGTAGCCTACTTCTTAATTTCTTCTGCTATCCTGATTCCCTGGCTAGCTCCATCCTGTGACTCGTGTACTGGTCAGACAAAGACACTCAGGTGTCATATGAGGTAGACACAAATGTATGTGTTTGTGGAGATGGCACACAAACCAGCACTAATGTCCTGAGGCTGCCCCTTCCTATAAGTGGTCTGCCCCTGTACACACAGAGCATAACCTAGGCACGTGAGCCGTGTGTCTATGTGTGTGTCTGGGAGTGCACACACCCACAGAGAGAGGTCACAGCCTCTTCCCTGCTCTCCAGAGGAGGGATCTGGAGGCCAGAGGGGTTGGGGCATAATTGGTTTTGGCATTTCCTACCTCCGCTGTCCGGGAAGCTCTCTCTGTTTCATCTACAGCCTGATCAATCCCTAGTCATGTGCCTTTCCACATGGACGGCCGCGACCCCCCAACACACCACGCTCTCAGAAACTTCGTTAGTACCATTAATCTGCTGACCCAGGCAAATGGCCATCTCTTCCTGCAACCCAGTCTCTCACCCCAACCCCGAGACACCCCCGAGCCGGCAGAAATACTCTCTCCAGTTCAGTTTATACCGCCCCGCCCCCACCACTTACTGACTATCTATCCTCCTCTCCCTCCTCCTCACGCCTGTCCACTAAGCCTTTCTCAAATGTGGCATTTTGTTTGTTTAGTTTATGTTTGCCGCTAGTACCTGGAAGCAAAATGGGTCCCATGTGCTTGCTGCTTCGTAGCAGAGGGTTCGGGTCAAGCTCTGGCTTTAGGACGCATCCAAGGGAAAAACCGTAGCATGTATGGCATGCTTACAGTATACAGACATTAGTTTAGATGCCTTTACACAGGCTATCCAATCCTCAGTACCTAAGAGGGAAGGGTGATTTCCTGCACATCTTTTAAAATTGATGTTTGGTTTTGAGACAGTTTCATGTAGCCCAGGCTAGCCTCAGACTTACTATGTAGCTGAGAACCTTGAATTTCCTGTCCTACTTCCTCCAGCCGCTGAGTGCTAGATTCACAGGTGTGTGTCACCACATCTGGTCTTACATGGGGCGGGCGTCACACAGGCTCGGCAGCCACTCCACTGGCTGAGGTCCATCCCAAGCCCTTGTCTGCTCTGTGTTCTTGCCTCCCTGTGTGTCACATGTGGAGGTCAGAGGGCAGCTTGCAGGAGTTGATTCTCTTCTTCTACCTGGTGACAGGTCCTGGGGATCAATTTCCGGTGGTGGGGCTTAGTGGTTAGTGTTTTCATGTGCCGAGCCACCACCCAAGCCCCCAGATTGTTTTGTTTTTGTTTTGAGACGGCTCGTAGTATATGGTCTAAGTTGTCCTAGAGATCACTATATGTCTCAGACTGCAAACTTCCCTCAGTATCCTATGTGCTGGGGCTGCTGGCGTTGTCACCACGCCTTGCGCTAGTTCCCCCATTTAATGGGGAGGAAGACAGTGTGTGTGTGTGTCTCCCTCCCGTCCTCTTCCTGTCTGCCTAGAAAGGGTCCATGATGTCCAGCCCCTGCTGTGTCCTGGTGCCAGGATACACTGTCTCAGCTGGGTCCAACCTCACAGGAGATGGCCCCGCGTCTTCTCTGGCCTCTTTGGTTGATGCACTGGGTCCATTGTCCAGGCGGGAACAAAGACTAAGGATTTAAGCCTAGTGACCAGGCAACTCTACCAAGCAGAAAAGACTGTCCCCCCTCGAAGCTGGGCCCAGCCAAGGGGGGGGGGCGAGGGGGCTGGGAGGGGGACCTGAGAGAAAGGGGACGGGGAACCTTTCAAAGTAACTAATTAAAGGTCCTTTGCCTGCCCCCTCCCCCGGAGCCTAATCTCTTTGGGGCAGTAGCCAGACAATGTGCCTGCCACCCTGCCCCCTCACTCGAGTTTTAAAACAAGAGACAACTTGAAGTTAATGAGCGCCACCTGACGGGGGTCCCCTAATGAGAGGGGGCTGCTGGGCAGCTCACACATTCACTGGTTCCATGAATAGCTCCCCTAACCCCCTGAGTTTTATTCAACTAGGGCTAGGGGTAGGGGGCAGAAAGGGGAGCACGTGGACAGTGGTTTGGTGCAGGAAGGAGGCCCACCTCCCCTCCCCCATGGCCCATGCCCAACTCTGAGGCTGAGCCTCATCAGGCTTTGGCTTGAGCTGGCTGAGTGCCTCAGGGCCAGCCATCTCTGCTCCTATGCCCTTGGTCACTGACATGGGCTGTTTGCTTTTCCAGACAGGGGCCTGAGGCAGAGGAAGGATATTTGGCTTGGTGGTAGGACCAGAGTTCAGGAGGCAAGAGACTTCTGGAAGTAAATCGGAAAACCTTTCTTGGACATTGGATAGTTTCTTACCCATATAACTCCCCAAGTCTGGCCTCATCCCTGAGTCTTTCACCTCTAATCTCTGTTGGTCTCTCACCTTTGATGTTTCCCTTTCTACTTCCCTAGGTCTGGTTCTTCAGGTCTTATCTTCCTCGGAACCATCTGTGGCTCCTTGGTCTCGAACCTTCTGTCCCCAGCCTAGGTGGTGAGCTTGGCAGCCTTCTTGGTAGGTTCATGGGTCTCTCTCCTGAAAGGGCATAACATATGAGGGTATGCACAGCCTAGGGAAGGGTGAATTGGAGGACTCTTTGGGGACATCTGGGGGAAATGGGGAATAGCTCAAACTTTCTACTTTTAAACTGTTGTTGCTTTCTGTTCCAGAAACTATCCCTACATTGACTGTTCATCTTAAACGTTAGTCCAGCCTTCACTGCAGCCTGTGGTGGGACTCAGGGTAGAGGTTGGACTCAGGTCTTTCTGCTCAGGTAGAGACAGGGTACCTGATCTTTGCTCTCAAACCAAATAATAGCCATCAGGGGTTCCTTGGAATTCCCTCCTCCATTACCCAAGAAAGGCAAAAGCTGAGGGGGTAGCATTCTGAAAATCCAGTGTAGCTTGAGGTGGAAGAAAGGTATGGGGGGTCTCCAGCCAGCAGAACTTCAGACAGAGGTGACTAATTTCCAAGTTACTCATGGTGAAAATATCACATTTCATGCTTTGTTGCCGATTCATAGAAAAATCCTATTAAAACTTGGTGGATTATTTATACAGTTTAAACAAATGATGATCAAATATTTTACATGTTTTGAAAAGAACCTAGAGTTCTGCTGCCTGCTTGCACATCATCCATTCTGTGGCAGACTTGTATACTGTGTGTTTTATGAGTGGGTTGAGGTAAGGGAGAAAGCTTGAGGTGGTGAGCTGGTGTAGCTGTTCTGTCCAGCAGGGGACGCCCTCTCCCAGTGTCAATACCCCCTTCCAAGACCTCAAAGCCCCACAGATGAACAATGATTTCATATACCCTTTTTGTTTGGTCCTCACAACTCCTGGACCTGATTCAAGTCCCCCACGAGGAGCATCTGTAGGGCTTTGGTAATATGGTACTGAGACTTTGCGGCTGGATGTATACAACACCAGTACTCATGAGGCTATGTGTCCAAGTGTGTCTGTGCGTGGGGTTTGTGAGTGTGGCCATGGGTGCGGCGTGTCCCTGCTGACCGCTGCTATTTCCCTACTTCTTAGTCAAGGCCAAAGGTCTCTGTCCTCCCACAGACCAGGCCTCTTGCACACACATTCGCGTGTGCACACTCAAGCACACAGTTTGGCTGTGCATGGAGGTCCCTCTATAAAGTAGGTGTGGAGGCTCGTGGGCATGGTGGGCAGAGGTAGGTGGACAGAGAGCTACAGGTGTCCCTTTCTGACAGACTTAGGCACTCCAGTCTGGGAAGCATGAATCTCCACCCCAACTTTAAAGAACTCTCAGGAACACGCTGAGTTTGTTCAACCCTACACTGTGACCCCCCCCGCAAGCCCCAGAGAAAGACATTGTAAGTGGTTGAGCCCCCATCTGGTCAGCCTAGAGGTTCATCGTGGGAACTTGGGTCTAGTTTAGCCCCAGGAGTTGGATGGGCAGACTGGAAGGAAGGCTGGGGGCCCCTGAGGCAGGGACAGAACAGTCCTACTTCAGGTCCCGCGGCTTGTCCCTGCCCGCCAGGTCCTGTCTCAGCAGTTTTATTGCCACAGGGAGATAACGCCTGCAGGGAAGCAGCTTGTTCTGAAGGAGAATGTGCAACCCCAACCCACCCCCATGGTTCAGCCTCAGGGGCCAGGCCTGGGCCTAGCTTGATTTCCGGCCAGGTGGATGGATCTCCAAGGGGCTCAGCTGGGCTGACCCCAAAGAGGCCACTGACACCACTAGCCCTAGACAGTCCTGCATGGAGGGGGGGTCAAGGCGGGAGGGGAGGGTAAGCTTCCTCCAAGGAAGAGGAGAGAAAGTTTAATTGGGCAGACAGGGGTGCAGGTGGAGATCTGGAAACAGTGGAGGGTGAACTGTCTGCCTCTCTGGGCATCCCCGGCAGAGCAGGGAGGAACGGGAGTCTCTGAGGGCACCTAGCCCAGCGGAGCTCTCAGTGCTGTTGGAAGTGTTGGTGACTGTGTGAGGTCACTGTGTGATTCCTGTTGCCATTTCTGCTGTTTGCATGCAGGTCATTCCACAGCAGCAGAGCTTCCCAGAGCTGAGCAGCTAGGTAAGGAACAGGCCCAGCTGAGGGATATTCAACCATTTCCTCAGGGGAAGCCTGTCTATCTATGCCTCTGTCTCTGTCTCTGTCTCTGTCTCTGTCTCTCTCTCTCTCTCCTTTTTTCTTTCTTTCACCCCTTCTCATTCTTTTGAGACAAGGCCTTGCTATGTAGCCTAGGCAGTCTAAACATCACTATTCTCCTGCCTCAGCCACCCCAGTGCTGGGATCACAGGAGTTCCTTATCTGTTCTTGCCTTTTTTTCTCCCTGGGTTTGGAGCCGGGGACAGCAGTGAGTCCTGAAGACACCCATGGAGGAGAACTCGGCAGCCGGGCCCACAGGAGCCACCCCGCCCTCACCGTCTTCACCAGCCTGTACTTTATTAGAATTTATACGTTGCCCCGATTGAGGGGGAAAATAATTAACATCCCTACAAATATATCGTAAACAAAATATTTATTAGAAATAAATAACTCATTTATTTTACATATTTCATTTCAACAATAACATTACCCAATTTATCATTTAACATTTTTGCAAGACAACTTAACGACTACTTATTAGCATTTCCATTTTTCACCCGCGCACCATAAAGCACGGGCGCTCCCCAAATGGCCTGGCACAGGCCGAGCCAGGAGTCTAGAAGACCCTGGGGAGGGCTGTGGACCCCCTGGCCCTCCCCAACTCTGACACACTCCAATGTATGGACTACTGACAGCCGACAACAAATGCATGTGTTCACCCTATGTATTCACCCTCAAACACAGACACCTTCTTCCACTTAAACAGAGTGCGCGCCTCCTCACGAAGCAACGCCCCGGAAGAGACACACACTGTTGTGCAAGTTCATTTCTTGACTCATTCCAGATACTTGCGTTCACTCAAGCCTCCACTAACACACTCACATTTACACACATGGGTGTACACGCACACGTGCACATTCATACGATTGCCCCTGGTCCACACTCCACAGCACACAGTCAGAGGCTTTTGCACTGTGTTCACCTCAGATTTCACATAGCGGGGTACAGAGAGGAATAGCCATCTCTCCATCTGCCCCTGTGGAGTGGGATCAGGCACGGCATAGCTCCCCTGGTGGGACCTGAGACCCCCTCCCCCACCCCAGGTCCTACCTGGGACTGTTTAGGCCTCTGTCTGTGTTCCTTTCTGCCTCCCTAGCTCAGCAGGGACTCCCTGGGACCAAGTGCTCATGTTCATTTCGAACTTCAGCCTAGGTTCCCCACTCCCAACCCCCAAATGTGTCAACTAGAAGTGTATGAGGACCAGGCTTCCCTTAGTTGCCTGGGTTCTGGGTTGGGAATTTCAGCCTGGGGCTCTGCTCTATAATCCTGGGCCTGGGTGAAGTGAGGTCAGACGACCTGCAGATATTCAGTGTGTTTGAGACCCCCCCTACCTCCCCAAGGTCAAGGCTGACCCCCCCCCCACTGCTTCCTTCCTACCCCTACGACAGAAGGAGAGAAGGGAGCAGGGAGAAGGTATCCAGATGGCAGTCAAGGCTGGAACACCTTATGTTCCTACCTCCAGAACTGATCTGGGGTCTGGCAGGTTCCCTGGATCAGGATGTCTATCAGGTGCCACCAAATGCCAATGGAATCAATCTGTACCTCCCCCACCTCCTTCTTGATTCCTAAGCAGTACACATCCTAGCATATCTGTGCAGTCTCAGGCTGAGGAAACAGATGGGTGCACACCCCTTGAGGACACACATACATGTGTACACATGTGTGCATCACTGTGAATTCTTCCTGGCCAACTCACCCCGCTATGTTCAGCCAGCGTCAGCTCAACCTGTGGTAGATCAGATACTTGGTGGGTGTTGAGGCTGAGAAATTCCCTCTGAGTGTGTAGCTTCTGGGAGGTAGAGGTAGGAGGCAGGGCAGGGGGCAGGAGGCCCTTTGGAGTCAGCTTAGCCAGGGGCTGGGGGCTGGGGGGCTGGGGGCTGGGGGGCTGGGGGCAGGGCCCATGGGGAGCACACACAATGGCTGGAGGTTGGAGGGTCTGAAACTGGAGACTTTAATAAAAGCCACTGACAGCAAATAAAGCTACCAGGGGAGTCCCATTACCCACAACAAGGACCCTTTGTGAGCCAAGCGGGGCTGCCCTGACCCTGCCTACCCTCCATCCTGGCCCATCCAGCTCAGTGTCCCTCCAGCAATAACAGCAAAGCGCTGTATGCCCACACAGTATGCCTGCAGGATGGAAACTCCTCTCTATGTCTACCACGAGTCAATCGCCTTTGAGTCTGATGCCTCCAGATGAAACTGTGTAGTCCAAAACAAGCCCACTCAGAAACTTGCTGTGGGCTCCACTTGCCCAGCCCAGTGGGAGGTTGGGGTTGGTGGTGGAGTGTGGTATCCATGGATGCTTGGTCTTGATGTAGACCCTGATATAGTCCTTATTGTCTTTAACCTAAAACTCCCATGCCTCTCTGGGTCCCAGGACTCATTCCAATACCATGATGTGTCACAAGGCTGCGCACTAGGGTCATGGAGACCTGACTGAGTCCTGGAGCTGTCCGTCACTTACTGTTCAACCTTGAGTGAGTCACGGTCTCCCCTCTGAGCCTACGTTGCCTTCAAAGTGGGGTTGATTGAAAAGGATCCCACTTGCAAACTTTAGAAACCCCCTCCCCCCAATGATGGCTATCATAACAACTTAGCCTTAATTTGGAACCAAACTGTGACTTGTTCATTGACTTCCAAGCAGGTCGGAGTCCTACTCTGAACCCCATCTTAACTGCATGGCTAAGGCGACAGGCACCTCCACAAACAGCTGCTCTGTGGAACATCTTCTAGCTTTTGACATCAGCCAAGAAGCTCATTCGTTGGTGGAAGGTTTAGAAGCCATGTGGGGAAGAGAAAGTTGGGGCACTTGGCTTGGAGTTTGAGTAGACCTGGAGGCGAGCCGAGAGCAGTCCCTTAGCTCGGATATGTTGGGAGTGAGGAGAGGGACATTTCTCTGAGGTTAGGCGCCAAAGCAAGAGGTAGAAGGGTGCAACCCCACAGGATTCGGGGTTGTCACTTTAAGGGCGAGGTGGGCCCTGAGATGGGCACCACCCACGGTGACAAGATGGGGTCCGGCCATCACAAGTCCCTCCCAGTCCGGCAGGAGGGGATTCTGGTGCTGGGCGGGGAGGGAGATTAGGAGGCGCTCTCAATTGCCTTAATGGGCTCTAAGAGGCGGGATCCTATTACAGCTCGGGGTGCCCCGGGGTGCCTTGCTGGGAAGACAAGCTAATCTGCCATGCAAATTAAATCCTGCCTCAAGACGCAAGGCCTGCTTAATGTGATCCATTACACAGTTTACTTGTTTATATCTAATATTGGAACAGGCAGCCCGGGCGGGCGGCAGCGGCAGGCGGAGCGGCCCAAAAGCAGGAGAGTAAATTACTAGCAAAATGAGCTTTTCCAGCCTCTGCCGCTGCCGCCACCCGCGCAGGCCGGGCTCCGGCGTCCCGGGCAGCCCCCGCCCGCCCTCGCGCCCGCCCGCAGCGTCCCCTCGCGCGGCTTGCTGTTCCGTTTTCTCCCGGTTGGCCTTTGAGTCTCTTTCTTCTCTTTGTCTTTCTTGTTCCTCTTCGGTCCCTTGACCACTGTCTCTGTCTCTGTTTTTTCGTTCTCTTTCTCTCTAGGTCTTGGGTTCAGCCTCAAGCCTCTCCAGGCTGAATCAGATTCTGTCTTGGCTTTCTGTCTCTCACTTTTGGCTCTCTCTGGGTGATTCCAATGTCTTCCCGCAGCAGTGATGGACACTTGGGTCTCTGATGATGCCCTGTGGTCCGGTGTAGGGAAGTGGAGACTGAACTCAGCATTCCTGGCCTCACACACCTGCACGTGGCCCTGCAAGGTGGGCCTGGGGATGCCTGACTCGGGCTCAGAGAGCAGAGCTATTTTATTAGTGACTCTGTCCTTGGCCGCGAGGGTGTGTATCTGGAAGGTGTTACTCTGGCTCTGTGTGTGGCTCCTTATATGTGTCTGCCAGGGTGGGTATGAGTGTGCATCAGAGACCTACTTGAGAGAGAGAGAGAGAGAGAGAGAGAGAGAGAGAGAGAGAGAGAGAGAGAGAGAGAGAGAGAGAGAGAGAGAGAGTGTGTGTGTGTGTGTGTGGTGTGTTAGGGGTAAGTCTTAATAAACTAGAGAATTTGTCTTCCATCTCTTTTCCTGGACTTCCAACACCTTCTGTCCAGTTCCATGTTGGCATGAAGTCTCAGGACCTTCCTTTTCACTTCCTGGCTGACAGCCGCCCTCTTTCTGGCTCTTGGCACAGCTCCAAGTTGTCCGTGCTCCCAGGACTACCTGATTGTTCACCACCTGTGTCTGTGGTGTGAAACATTTTCCTTTACTGTGGCCTCTCACCGTGGCCCATATCCTCCGTGGAGATCACCTTCAAGTGGGAAACCACCAGGCCTGAGTCTGCACCGAGTCAGAAGCAGGCTGCAAAAGGATGAAAACAACGAGAAGAAAAAACACCAGAGAGCCAGACACTCAGCACAGAGGTTGTGGTAGACACGGGATAGACACTCAGGACTCACACTGGAGAAGAGACACAGGTTGGGAAGGACAGAGTGGCTGAGGACCTGTCACTAGCAATCCATGCTCAAGCTCACAGGGAGTCCAGAGCTGTCACCAAGGGGTCATTTGATTAAAGCTGGGGGTCCAGGAAGTGCTACCTTGAACCTGGACATGACAGGGCACCTGTCCTGTGGCCTCATGCTGAGACACGAATGAATCCAGCTGAAGTTTCTGGACCCCTGGCTGGGCCTTTGGTTCTGAGGGGATCTCAGGCCCAGAGCAGGCAGGGCAGAGAAGTGTCCACAGCCGTGACTGTGCACAGATGCTACTCTAGTGCCGGACCTGCTCAGCACACACACACCCACTCGCATGTCACGTGCCATGCTGGAGGCTTGCCAGTGAGGTTCCCTGGCTTTGGTCCATAGTCCTGAGCTGGGACCCCAGTCCCCTTTATGGCTGTGACTTCTGAGGAGTTAATCTCCAGCTTTGTAAGGGCCTTGGCCCTTTCAGGTCAGTGAGTGGCAATGACCCCACTCTTCAATCCCAGTCATCCGGACACCTGGCCCCCCATTTCTTTGGATCCCCATGAATCTCGAATGCCTGGGTTCTTTGACTTTGGTGGACACGTCTTCTTGCCCCTGACCTCTGGCCCTGGCTGGGTGGGGAATCTGCTGAATGGAGGGTAGGAGGGAAGGTGTGAGTCTGTATGTCTGTGTGGAATGGGGGCTGTTTAGATAAACAGATGGCAACAAATGGCATAAAATTATATACCCATAATGTCAGTTCATAACATTTTGTTCGACATACTTGATTTAATCGCTTAGCTGACGATTTGGCTTTTGGGCCCATATGGTGGGGAATGAAGCTGCGTGGCACCCGCTCCAATCTGGCTCTTTTATCGCCAAGGCTGGAGGGGTGGGGATGGGGGTGGGGGAGAAGAAGGGATGCAGATGGGATGAGAATGAGCTGACAGGAGAGGGACGGGGTGGGGGTGACTGGAGGGACTAAGGGGGACTGGACCCTGGCAGGGTAAGGGCTCCTGAAGACTGCGTGGGAAGGGAACGGATCAAATGGGATGGAAGGACTGTTGCTAAGAGTCCTGGACTCCATGTCTGCCACCACTTAGTGTTGCTAGGGCTGTGATTTCAGGAACCCAGTGCTGGCTTTTGTACTTTCCAAAACCAACATTCTCTGGGGCTATCCTATCACTTTTGCTAAACTTTGCATGCGCGTGTGCGTGCGTGCGTGCATGTGTGTGTGTGTGTGTGTGTGTGTGCACATGCATGCACATGCATATATCTACTTGTGGGTCCATGGGAGGATGTCTGGGAGACTGTCAAGTGTGTTGTGTGATGAGTTAGTAAATCACCTTTTCACTTTGAGCAACTGAGGTTGTGAGTGAGAGCTGGTGACAATGTCTTAGGTCTGGCAAGACTGACTTCTCCATGTGAGTAGGTGTGTGAGCATGAGTTGGGGTAGTGGCGAGGCAGTTGTGGGGGTGTGTGTGCATTGAATCTGGGGGCATGGAGCTGAGAATTGTGCAGGGTGTGACTAAGTGTACAAATGTTTCCCATGCTCGTGGCACGTGGTGCATGCTCAAGCAGTGTTGCTGCGTATGAGCAAGCAGCCATCTACTTAAAGTTCGTTGTAGGTGTCAATGCTGGTCTTGGGAATGCAGTATATGTGTAGGAATGTACATAAGCTCTTCCATTCAGGCTTTGCATGGGGTCCCCACTCAAATACCCTGGCTTTCGACACAAATCACTGGTTAATTTAGCTCTAGGCCAGTGCTCCAAAGAAAAGTGCCAGACCCTTTCCCACAGAGATGCCTACCTCTTTCCCATCACCAGTCCAGCCTGGTTTGCTTACCCAGGGCCTTCCTAGTTTCAAAGCTGCGCCAGCCCCCACAAGCAGAGAATCTGGGCCCAAATCGGCGCCCATCACTCAAGTCGAAGCCTCATCTACCCCCTGCTGGGTGTTGCCCGCTGGCTCTGGAAATAGGGGCTGGCACCTGCAGAGGGCTGGGAGCTGGCTTTCCTCTCCCCCCCTCCTCAAGATCCACATCCCCCAACTTGAGCACTGGGAAGGGGGACTTGGTGTGCTGATGCTCCTGTGCTCCCCTCGGGGGTCTTAGCGCCTGTCCGCCCCCTGAGTCTGTCTGTCACTGTTCTGTTTCTCTTCCATTCCTCCGTCTTTGCTTTTCTGATGATCCCTCCCTCTCTGCCTTCCTCCCCCTCTTGCTCCATCCCTCCTTCTCACTCTCTCCCCCTGCTTTCTTTCCTTGTGCCTGGACACACTTTTGAGGGTCTTTGGAGGTACAGATCAAGGCTGGGGTAGGGGCAGGGGTCATAGGTCCTTAGGATGGCCCTCTGCTTTTGGAAAAGCCTCTTATCCTCCTTCCTTTGAGGCAGCAGGATACAGTGGTG